GCTGCGGAGTAGGAAGTAGTCTTGGCGGTAGCACTTGAATGAAATCGGTAAGTAATTGTATTTTTGTGAGGGACGCTAGATTGACACTAGCAATGGGGACTATGCGGGTTGGACTTGGGCTACACACACATATCAGTTTTTGGTTCGAGGTTCGTGCACCGCCTTTTACATTTGCCTTCGTGCGTCCTGAGATTGTCGAATTTGAATGGAGAGGTGCAGGCGGCCGTGCAGAAGCGGACTGAGAGCGGCTGGTCGAGCATTGATGCGCGTTGACGGGGCTCAGATCTGGTGATAGGATATCACAGGAGGATTTTCGGAAAATTTGTACTGTGGGTTCTTGGGACCCCAGAACACGTCGGGATTATAAGGGGACAGTCGGGGGAGGTCCTTTCGAGGGGGACCTATAATGACTATAATGATTGTGTGGAGGAAGCTCCTGTAAGAAAGATGATGTGGGAGCGGAATGGCCGTCATCGCTAACTCGTCTGCGTGAGGAAAGCCGTGACAGCAGGTCGGACAGGGCTGTGATCGTATGAGATTCGGGGAGCAGCTGAGGCTCGAACCTGTTCATGGAGATTCCTGACACCAACCCTGCACTGCGCAATCCTCGGAATTTGCAGACGCTTGCAGCAAGAGCTATACGGATAGCAGCATTGCAGTCGGGCGGTCGCTGTAGATCCTGAGAAGCTGAGGCTTAGCGGTCTGGTGGTGAAGATCAGCGAGGCACTGCGAAGGGTCGTAGAGTTCACGCGTAGCTGTGGCAGACTTGCACAAGCTAGCTGCTGTTCAGATGTAGTCAGCGAAATGAGATTTGCATCCCTGCTCGAGAGCTGCAGCCGCGAGCTGCAGATGGCTGCAGGCAGTGTTGGACAACTCTGAGTCACCACGCTTCGAGCGCTTGCAGATGCAGATGCTGGCACCAGTCGCATCACTTCCCCCTGCCGAAGCCCACTAGCTCCAGAGTTTGGTCGAGCTGCAACCTATTCCCAATGAGGCTAGAAACTGGCCCTGCTGTGGCCATGAGGTCGTAGAGCAGCCTCCCGTGATTGCAGATTGATTGATTGGTTGTTTCAGATGGATCGTTTTAGGATGCTGTATGGCGTCTGCGAAATGCAGTGGGAAAAAATGTTGACGGGCCGTGCCTGCAGGTGTGTATACAGGGCGTCCTTGTCAAGTTTGCTCATGACTTGAACGGCCCTCATCAGTCACTCAGTATAGTGCACGGGCACATATCCGGACGCGCCGGGAAGCTTTGGGCCCATAGCTCCCCTTGCAATCGACAGTGCCTGTGCAATGCAGCGCCGCAGGCAAAGGGGACTCAACCCAACTCGCTGCTGGGGGGCTCGCCAAAGGATGCGGCCATGCATGGGATGGGTAGATGGAAGTGGCTGAGTTTGTCAAACTTTGAATGCATGCGCATGGCCAGGAGTCTGAAAAGGCCCTCCGCGCAGAGCCGGAGCCACAACCCACTGTCCTGGACTGGCCGGCGAAGTGGCTCTGCTGCTGCGGCAAGCGCGAGGGCCACTGAGTAGTCAGTGGCCTTCTCGTTTGCTGCAGCAGCACAGCTACTCGGCCAGCCATTCCAGGACACTGGGTTGTGGCTCCGGCTCTGCGCGGAGGGCCTTTTCAGAATTCTGGCAAGGACCACGCGCTCTGGTTTGCGCGGAGCGCGTCAGCTTGCACCTTCGCTCAGCTTTGCAGCTGGCTTGAGGCGAGGCATGATCATACAAATGGGCAATGTCCTGGGCAGCTGTTTGCACGTGAAGATGGGTGAGGCAGTACTTGGAGTTGGCGCCTTGCCGTGGCAGACTAGTAGAAGCCACTTCCGTTCTGATGCCGTCCGAGATATGAGCTTTTCATCCCTGCTGAAGAGCTGCAGGCTGTGCTGGACGGCTCCACGTCAACACGCTCGGAGCGCTGCTGCAGGCTGTTTCCACCAGGCTTGAAACAGGTCTTTTTTTAGGTATGGTATGGCGTGCAAGATATGTGGTGCAAAAAAAAGAACGGGCCGTCCGTGCCTGCATAGGCGTCCTTGCAAAGTTTGCTCACGGATTGAGGGGCCCTTCACCAGTGCATGGCTGGGAAGCTTTGGGCTCAAGAAATTCCGTTCGCATTCAGCCTTCGCTGGGCGCCATGCAGCGCCGCAAGCCCGGGGGTCTGAACCCAACTTTGTTGGAGGGCTCGCCGCGCAACGCAGCCGGAGAGTATGCGGCCTGTATGGGCCTGGCGGACGACGTCGATGCCCAGGCAGCCATGCGGGCAGATGGACTCGCGTGGAAGGAGCGGGGGTTTAGGACGCTGCGCACGCTTGCGGTTCATAGAGTTGCATCTTGGACTCGCCCACTGTTAGGAGTCCGAGAAAGCTCTTCGCGCAGAGCCGGAGTCACAACCTACGATTCTGGACTGGCTCGCGGAGTTGTTGTGCTGCTGCAGCAAACGAGAGGGACACTGAGTGCCCAAGCAGCGTTAGCCAGGGGGGATATGAGCTTGAGCTATCTTGAGCTTGCTGTTGGGCTCAGTCGTTGCAGCTTGATGCGAGATATGCGAGGCTTGGGCCATGTCCTGTGCAGTTCCAGGCAGGCCTTTTGTTTCGACATGCCTGGACGTATCCTTTCTGTGGCAGGCGGCTACCCACGCTCGAGGCCAATCCAGGCCCGTCCTGCCTAACAAGTGACATCGCGAAAAACGATAGAGATTCTGTCGGCTACGTAACGGATGCTGTGGTGCTTTACTCATCGTATCCGATGCAAGGGGTGCAAGACAAGTTTTTTGTCTTGTAAGGCGCTTCATTGCTGCAATTTGAGAGTTGCGCTTCCCCTTTGTCCGTGTTTGTCTTGCCTGTTGGCATGTCCGACCCACACCGGCTCGCAAGGGTCGCAGAGATTGTGCATGCAGCCTTTGCGTGTGCACAGCTGTGAAAACAGATTTGGCAGTTTATTCAAATAAGGGGACTCCAATATAGACCCCCAAATGCTACACATCTTTTTATGGAGACCCCAAAATGGCACCCTTAATTTTGGGAAACCCCCATTTCAATGCTCTGCGCTGCCGGAAGCTTTTGGCAGGATTGAGCCCATCATGGCCATTGCCACTTCCTGGAGCAAAGCTATCCAGGAGATTTGAGCTTGCAATGCCTGTTCCAACATGTCTAGCCCCCAGCCTTTTGCTGGTAGGACTTTTTGTAATCTTGATGTAGATCTAGGTGGCTTTAAGATACGATACATGATGCGGAGCGCTGTGCATGCAGCGAAACCTTCCAAATCTCCAGAACGGATTGTAGGCTTTCAGCTTTCTCAGCAGCAGATCATGCTCTGGAGGACGCGGAGATGTCCATTGACACTAAGAGGAGGATGAAGCTGGAGAGCAAGGACTGCCTTTGCTCGGACCGCCTTTGCTCCTCACAATCCCGAAAGATCTCGCGCCCCCAAATTCAAAGCCCAACGCCAAGCGGATGAAGTTGCCGCAGATTTTCAGAGCAGTAGCACTGCCTTTGAGAGGCGGCCCAATTGGGTGCCGTTTGCACCAATCCCGGCGCCGATGCTTCCGTGCCGGCCTTCCTCCTGAAGGACATCCCTTTCTCAGCAACATGATGCAGTTTCTTGCGTCACCGAGCGGTCCTCGTGAGATCTTTTCATCGGCAGCACAGAGAAGTTGTCGCACAAGTGTGAGCCACAATTTTGCCCTGCTGTGGCAGGTCGTTAATTCAGAATTACGCCTTGGAACCTTAAACCGAACCTCCTAATGCCGAGAAAGCTAAACCCCAACAACCTGCATAGCGATGCAAAGTCTACACTAAAACCTGATACCCCCAAAAGCCCTCCCTATACTTCATGTCCCCAACCCCTATACATCCTAAAGGCTGCGTGTTGCGCAAGGAGCTCAAGGTGGCCATCGAGCAGTCACAAACCGAGCCAAAGAGCCAGGACCGGCTTTTTCTTCCCGTCTCAAATTACTTTAGGGGGGCTTGGAGTTTACGATATGTCTGGGGAATATTTGATGTTCGGGGTTGAGGGAGTATTTTACTAGGAAGGAGTTATTTACGATCTGGGGTTCAGGGTTCATGGCTTCGGGCATTTACGGTGTAGGGTTCAGGATTATAGATTGGAGCATGAATTGCAAGATGAAGTCATAACCGGAAGCTTAGGTTGGCGGGGAGTCTCCGTGCAAGAGTTAAAGACCAACCCATGATCCCCATATTCCATTCCTTCATTCTGTACTTACCAACAGTAGGCTTTGCTCAGCAAAAAAGACTCCAAGGTCCAAGGTTAGGGTCTCAGGCTTAGGGTTCGGGATGGTTTGAGTTTTAGGGTTCAGGGTTATAAGGGTTCAGGGTTTTTCGTGAAGCCGCCACACATCTGCGAGTTTCTCAGACATGACTCTGTATAGACCCGTTGATGGGGATTTCCAAAATTCTTCTTGTAACCCATCGAGAGAAGCATCCAGAATCTGAGTAAGCTTTTGCATTCTCAGTGGGTCTTGGCCAGGCTTCAGATTCCCCAGCTGCTTGCAGCAAAGCTGGCATCAATGCCTTCGCGCTGGATTTCCTCAAGGCGCATGCGGCAGAAAGTGATGTTGAGTTCTTCAGCTTGAAGAGCGAGGGTTTGCGGCTTGTGGTGCCCATGGCTTTAGAGTTCATAGACCAGGGCTTAGGGTCCAGGAGCTTCGCTTGTTCGATGAAATGCCTTGAACGATGGCTTTGGGCAAAAACCTGATAGGGGTGTGGCTAACGTAGAGTCTTGAAGAATTGCCAGTACCTGAACCGCACAAGTATGTAGAATAATGGCCTCTTGGGCCAATTGCAGGGGTTCTGGGCGATTATTTTACCTACTGTGGGGTTCCAGGTATGTCCAGCTAGTGCTCCCTCATAATCTTTCGATATATATTCATATGGACCGTAGGATCTATTTGGTAGGCACTATGCATAGGACGGTCTGTCTCCTCCTGCCATGGATTATCAGAGTCTTTAGTGCAAGAACCTCAAGTTAGAGCCTGCTTGCCAGGTATTGGTTGAAAACATGCTGCCCCACCTCTTGTGCCGCGTGTTGGATATCTTTGAGGCTTGGGCTTTGAGTCACAGCTTCCGATGGCAGGATGTTCAAACTGCGATCGTGTAGCGGATCTGGGCTCATGCTGGGAGTCTAACAGCAGTTCATATTGGAGTTGTCGAGCTTGTGATTTTTGGGGGGCTCCTCATCATAACCACAGTTTTAGACAGACACACCCATCTGGACAAACCAGCGTTGTGTCAGCGAACGGTCCTGCCAGAACTCCTACCCTGCAGAGAAGAACTGGGTCCCGATCAAGGCGAGGGCTTTGCAGGGCTGGCGCTGTAGGAGTATGACCTTGCATTTTGGATTGGCTGATTGTAGGAGCATATGTAAAGACATATATATATATTATATACGAGACACCTGAGTTTCGCTGCAAGCCCTGTCAATCACGAGATGAATGATTTGCAGACGCTTCACACGAAGGCTTGCCGGGAAGCGTTATAGTCCAAACAGTCATTATAGGGGTTATATAGGGGCTATACTAACATACAGGGGTCATATTAGGGTTATAACGGAAAAGAAAATGGAAGCTACTGTAGAATGATCCAACTACTGATTTCGGGCCATGAGGACTCCCATTTTCTGATTGCTAGACGGCAACATGTGAGCAGAAGTTGAGAAGCTGCGAACAGAGAGTACCTGTATTCTTGGTAGGCACTACTCGGTTCCATCCAGTTTGCTAGATTGGAGACACGCTAGTGCCCAACACAGTGCCAGACGGCGTCCTTGCTCCTGCGATAGCCTTTTTTTACAAAGAACATATTCGACCCTGCGTGGTTCAACCAACAAAAATAGCATTCTTCACTTGATTTCAAATCATACATCTTCTCACTTGGGTAGGTATAAATGGTAATTATGCACTACCACCGGAAGAAAATCCGGCAATAATCCCCACATGCATCCCTGGGGTGCCTTTGCGAAGCTTCGATATGTTTTAGAGACCGCTCCCAAGAAGTAATAGTTGTGTAGGAATCAATGTATGTAAAGGCCTCAATATCACCGCGGCTGCTGTCTCTGAAAGCGCTACACTCTGAACCCTGGGTGCACTACCCAGCTTATATCCAGCAAGGATACTGCATGAAAGCCGTAAAATTTACAGCCCTCAATACTGCCCCTATTGCAGCCCGGAACCCAACAACATGGGGCAGAACCCGGCTTACGTCCAGCAAGAGCTCAGGTGATCACAGCGGCAGCAGTGTTTGCACAGAAATGTCAGGCCTGGCTTTCAGCTTCGTGGTGAGTCGTGAGGATTGAATCTTCAGGGCTCAGGCCGTTTTAGGGTCTTTGTGAAGTATCAACTTGAGCCTTTGAAGGTTTCCCGACAGACTTATGGCCTATCTGAGGTTTTGTCCAGGTCGTTTGAGTTCTAGCAGAAGTTCCATGGGACGTCTTCTCTTGCATGAGCCAGTCTCAGTATGAAGGTAACCAGGGGGGTCTGAAGGGTGCACGCAGGGTTTCTTGTGGTAATCTAATATGTGAGTTGCTGAAAACCACAGGCACTCTGGGGTGCTTCTGCCAGTGGAGCTGCATATTCTTAAGGAGCCTTCCCCTTCGTGTACCCTGTAGATGTGCTAGCAGCTCTGGCTGGACTTGGTTGTAAGGTAGTTGTTTGGGATGGGTAGGGCTTGATGTGGTAGCTTGCGGGGTACTTCACGGGGTTATGTCTCGGGGTCAGTCTCGTAAGACTTGCGTCAAAACATGTTCACAAGAAGTGTTGGGGCCTCCGCGGGCCAATGCACTATACCCTCATACAGCATAGTTGTCATAGTGTGTCGGGGGTTAGGGCTGGCACTTCTCCCGCCCAAAGGAAGCGTCGACAAATGGCAATCTTCTGTTGGTGGTTCTGTACAAGGGCTCCCATCTTTTGAAAGGAGACCTAGGACCTCACCGCACATCAGTGATCAGCTAAAAGCAGATCATGCTGCAACCCATTCACGATCCTAAGAGCTGAGGGTTCAGGCAATGCGTCTCGCCTGAGTGCAGCGCATAGGATTCCAACACGATCCATTTGCAGACTTTCAATGGCGCAGAAACTAAGCCTTGACGAACTGCAAAACTCCACGAGTCGGCACCGTAGTTGTGCGTTCTGAAACAGCACCTCGTGGCCCCCGCAGCTTTCGAACTTCAACGAACAGGTGCCAGACGGCTATGCAGAAGCAGCTTCCGGCCGCGGACTGAGGCCCGATGCGCATTGATGCGGATCGAGGCTGGTCAGCTGGTCCTAAGGCAGAGAAGATAATGAGCAGGTACATCATCGATTCCTAGCTTGCAGAAGAAGAAGAAGCAATGACAGCAGCAATGACAGCAATGCCTGATGCAGCTAACACGGGAACGTGATGGTATGTGAGCTGCGGGGAGCAGCTGAGGCTCGATGATGCCACCAACCTTGGCTTTGCGCAAGCCCCGGAATCAGAAGGTCTTTGCAGCGAGATTTGCGGCCGACAGCATTACAGTCGGGCGGTCACTGCAGATCTTGAAGCTGAGGCTCGGCAATCTGGTCCCGAAGATGGGCGAGGCAATGCGCGGAGTTTGCGCTTTGCTGCGGCAGACATGCAAAAGCCTGCTGCTCAGATCCTGTCAGAGACATGACTTTCTTCCCTGCTTGTGTTGGCTGCAGCCAGGAATTGCAGGCTGCGCTGGCCAACGCCGAGACAGCACATGCGGAGCGCTTGCAGACGCAGCTACTGGCACTGGTTGCATAGCTCCCACCGCTGAAATCCAAAAGCTCGCGAGGCTTGCTAAGCTTCAGCCTGTTTCCCCGCGGCCATGAGGTCGTAGAGCAGTTGCGTTTGGCTTGAGCAGCTCGCTTGAGATCGCTTAAAGTACTGTATGTCACATGCTACGACATGCGAAAGAAAAAGGAAAGGTGCAGTGCCTGCGGATGTGCCTGCCGTTCTTGCAAAGTTTGTTCGCGGCCTGAAATTCCTTCCAGCAGTGTCAGGCTTGAGGTCTTGAAGCATGAGGCTGATGCCCGGACGCGCTGGGCTCGAACAGCTCCGGCTTCGCATCCAACAGTGCGTGTGCCATGCAGCGCCGCAGGCCCGGGGTTCTTAACCCAGCTTTGTTGGAGGGCTCGCCGCGCAACGCGGCCGGAGACTACGCGGCCTGCATGGGCCTCGACGACTCCCTGGATGCCCAGGCAGCCATGCGCGCAGATGGGCTCGCGTGGAAGGCCCCCGCTCCATCCACGCAAGTCCATCTGCGCGCATTGCTGCCTGGGCATTCACGGAGTCGTCGAGGCCCATACATCCGAAATATGCGAGGCTTGGGCCATGTCCTGGGCAGCTTCAGGTGGGGGGTCCTGGGTAGTAATAGCATGTAATAGCAATAATAAGAGTAATAGCAATAGTAATATAGTAATAGTAATA